GATTCGCCAGGGAGCTCAGCGGCGCCCCGGGCTGGAGAATAATACTATAATATATACACACATACATACATACATACATACATACATACATACATACATACATACATACATATATATATATAATATACTATAATATGATCGTTGGGGTTGTTGGGGTTAGGAGCCTAAACTCCTAAATCCTACCCTGAGCCCCTAGAAACCCTAACCTAGACCATACATCCCATCCCATAGGACGCAAACTCTGAGACCGAAGCGCCCGGCTTAGATCTTCTATTTTGGGGGGGCTGATGAGACTACGGCTGCATTCCTTGCTTTTCAAGGCCGAAGTTCTGCAGTTTTGGTCATTGGGCGTGATAGGGGGGGACACGGCTCAGAGTTCATTATGTCCGGGCCTTCTGTGTCGGCCGTGGAAAGTAGATTGCCAATGGAAAAACGCTGGACTTTCGCTGTCTGGTGCATACAAAAAGTCAGAGTAATACGAATGCACCTATACCGGTAAGAGAAAAGGTGAAACGGCATATGACCCCTAAACACGAAACCTTGATACCTAAATCTTTCTTCTTGGTGATGGCTTTGTTGTTGTCATTGCTATTAATATTAAAGGATGAATATCAGTATCATCATTGTTCCTATTCTAACCCCAGACCAGACTTCGAAGCGGCAGCACCACCGACTCTCAGCCGCGATACTGGTTATCATCACGCCTCCTTTCGAGCCTGTAAAATTTTGCCCTCATGATCTCTGCCAGAAACCTCATAATTCACATTTGATGTCGGCTGTTCCTTCACAAGCTTGGCCATTTTCTGAATTCTAAACAAAGCCCAACCCACACCAGCTTGGATCACCGTTGTTCTCTTCGACAGCGCGTCCCAAGAAATGTCAGTGATTTCAAGGCAGATGCTGCCTGGAATTCTTTCCCTCTTCGATGCGGTGGACCAAGATGGCAGCGGCGAGATTGTGATCGAGGAGATGGAGAAGCGCCTTTGCTGGTTTAGAGGTTTGGGGTTTAGGGATTTAGGGCGTGTCGGTGCTGCATATCGGTCAGGTGAAGGGTTCAGGATTACGGCTACGTGTTGGGGCCTGGTTACTGCATCGGATTGTCTAGGATGTATTTCTCGCTCTAGAGTCTGCCATTTAGGACGTTACAGTAGGACTTACTTTAGGTAAAGTCAAAAGGTTCAGCATTTGAGGAGCGGGGAGGTACCCCACCCTGACGGAACCTGCTAGAAAATTAAGTCAGAGACCCGTTAACATAGATCCTAAATGACAAAGCCCTTGTTGCAAGGATCCCCGCTGTCTGAACAGCCCATGCTCGCGTAATGCTGGTGGGGTTCCTCGCAAGGCCCGAGAATCCTAGCGCTATAGCCGCACCGCCGCCTAAGGTTTGAGCAGAGTGGCCTCCACACTGTACCCCCGCGTCTTGGCTTGTGCTTGGTCGCTGCAAGACTCTTCTTGACAGGCTGCAGAGAATGCAGTTGCGGTTGAAGCGTTGTCTGACATGGGCTGAAAGACAGCCTTTCGACAGAAAACGTGATACAAGTAGTCATACAGACTGCTTTCGATTTTGTCGGGCTTATTCCACCAATTTTGTGCATGATTTCGGTGGTTCATTCACTTGAACAACTACATTTCATTTTTTCCGTGGGCGCATCATGTTGGCTCCCCACGTCCTTTGCCATGAACTCGCCAACATGGTTCTGCCCTAGCGACCCTAGCACATGGATAGCTGAAATAACGACAAATGCCCAGACACCCAGGGCGTTTGCACGATACTTACACCCTCGTCTCAAAGGCCTTCACACTACAAACCCACTGTCTGGAGTTCTGGCTTTTGCTTTATCGGATCTCTCCAAGCTTGCAAGAAAGCTGCACCCTCAACCCTAAACCCTAACCCTTGTGAGCATAGATCTCTGCAGCGCGAGAGGGACATAAACCCCTCTTTTAGACCCTAAGCCCAATCCCAGACCCTGCGCCGAGGCACTTCCTAGACAGGGCTTCAGTGGAGAGCATGACCGTGCTTTGACCTGCGAGAAGCTTCGGTTGAGTCTTCAGGGGTTCGGTACTGTAATCTACTACGACATACTATAATAGTATACTAGTCTTTACCTATTGCAGTATACTAGAACATACTACAATAGTATACTACAACATACTGTAATGTACTAACTATAATGCATATATATATATATATAGAGAATGTATATATATATATATACACACTATACTATGATTGTTACGACCAGGACCTTCGGGGTCCATGGGGGAAGTCGAACGGCTGGTTTTGCTGGTATCACGCAGAGAGTGCCCATACTGAAAAGGAAGCTGAAGCGTAGAATTTTCGTAAGAGTTGATCTGGACCTTGAGCTTTGGAGGCCTGAAGGGCATATCTCTCCCCATCTCTCTCTACGTCTCTCTCTCTATCTATCTCTGCCCCTTCAATGTGATAACCCGCCAAAGCAACAAGCTACAGTCGCAGCGAGCCATCCCTCGAACTTGCCGGCAGTGGCACAACTGGACAGCTGCATCCACAGACTGGCATGATGCGCACTCCCGACCCAGGAGCTTTTTGATATGCTGGATGTGGACAAGTCCGGGCGCATCAACAAAGACGAGTTCACCGAGGATCGGGCTTCGGAGCTTGGTAATCTTCTTAGTTAGTTCTCCAAAACCCAACCTTTAAACTTTTTGGGTTCTTATAATTTAGTAGTAACTTGAAAGTTCAACCTTTAATTTCCCCCTGGCTTTTTGGGGAAGTAAGTCTTGGGCTTATCGGTGGCTTCAGGATTATCAGTGTTACCACTATTACTACTGCTATTTTGAGCATTGTTATTGTGCATTTTCGTTGTGATTGCCATTCGCATTGTTATTGTTGTTGTTATTGCTCTTATTGTTGTTCTTGTCTTTAAGATGGCTCGGCCCGGAGTCTCGGCTTCCAAGCCGCGATGATGAGAGCACGAGAGCATGGCACTTATACAGATTGCCATTCTCTTGGGAACCTTTTCGGGCGTATATAACCCTACTAAGAATTCGAAAGGGTAGCCTTTTTTGGGCTAGGGTAGTTTCAGCCCCTAAGTTCTAGAAAGAGCTGTAAATTGCTGGACCCTGCAAAACTCAGAAAGTCACCACTACCGACGCCCTTTGGACCCTATTAGCTTGACCGAAGCTCTCAGTGTTGACTACTCTGGAGCTTGGTGTTCCGACTTATTCTTATTGCCTATGCTGATGATTGAGCCTTTCCGTATCTATGTCTATGTGGTTTCGATGCCTTGGTGCGATGTGTTTGTGCCCAGCCGGCAGAAGTTCCGGATTTTCATCCCTTACTGAGAGAGCGTCGGCATGCCATGGTTAGGTCCTCACCACTCCCGGGTGCCCTCGTTGAAACCTGACGCACCACATCGGTGGAAGGTGCACATACCAGGTATTTGGGTATACAAAGGATACAGCGGCAATAAGGGTGAGTTGTTACGAGGTATCGCAACCGAACACCCAAAATGTGATGCCTCTCGGGCCTTTTGTACGAGCCTTTCTCGACTTCTCTGTTCCTAGCAGTCCTTTAACATGGATGCTCTGTCGTGGGGTATATGCTGTAAGACTCAAGGGCCGTTTTGCTGCAAGATGGGATGAAAGCTGCCGCAGTGAGAACGGCTCCTTGCAAGAACCGGAATGCCAAGCAAAGGTGGAAACCAGTTCTCTTTTTCTCCCTCTCCCTAAACCCTCAACCCTCTTTTTCCTGTCTCTCCCTTTTTCGCTCTGGCTCTCAGGCTCTCCTCGTTCTCGCTCTCGCTCTGGCTCTCTCTCTCCGTATCCCTGCCTCCCTCTCTGTCTTTGACTCCGAACAGTCATTGCCCAGTGAGCATGCTGTGTTCCAGGGGATATTGGACATCTTCCTCCGTGAAGTGCCGCTCTCATCACTGCAGATGATGAAGACGCTGGGATGCATACGGGCTGCCTTGCGTCGTAAGTCCCGATTACATGTCCCTCCTAAGTCCCGGTCGTCCTAGCAGCGCGGCTGCTGTCATGGTAACCGTCAACCCTCAATGTCTGGAAGTTCCTTGTCATGAGTTTTCGGACAGCCCAAATTCAAAGGATGCTACGACTTCTGCACAAGTCGACGAGTGAGCTGGAGGTCAGGGATCCTCTTTCCAGGAGCCTTCTTGGGTGGAGTAGGGGGGCTTAAAGCTCGAACCAAGCAAGGCATTTAAAGGGATCTGAAAGGGATGCATCCTCATTGTCGTCATCATCATCAACATCAAACCTGAGATCCCAGAAGTCTTCCGAACCCAGAGGTTCTTGGGGGTTTCGGGCGTGGTTGGTGGACTTGCTCTTGTGTTCAGGCTGCACAGCCGGCCGCTATTATTTAGGAATGTGGTGGTGCCCCCGTGCTTCGAGGTTGATAATGACGAATGCGCTCTGCTCTCTTCAGTTGTCTAACTTTGGCGGGCATGTTTCTGGCATTTCTAGATCTTACCAGAAGTCATTGCATCAGCAACGGGGTCACCATGGCCACATTGCGTTCCGGTCGGCTTCATTCTGCTTCTCCTGAAGCGTACAGCTGGGTTTCAGATCGCAGGGGAGTACGAATGGCGCGTTTGTCGCGGGATAACTTGGGTAATATGGTGGATTGACTCGTTCAGACCCAACTAGGCTGGGATGCGCTTGTTTCAGCTTGTGCTATGCGTGTAGCTTATCATGCCGCACTTTCTAGCTTGTCCAATTGTTGGCACCAGAGACTACTACTGGTAGTCCCACTAAACGCCGTAGCCTTGAAACCCTGTCAGTTTCAGTGCTATGAATGTTGGTTTCAGCAAACTGCCCGGAACGGGACCGAAGCGACCAGATTTAGAAACATACATATATGAATATATGAGCCCTAGGGCCTTGCTAGGCTTTCAGGGTCCGAGGCTCAAGATTACAAGCGGCTCCGGGACGTTTGGATACCTCCGACGGTTTCAGCTGCATTCAACGCACTCTCGAACAGGTGGGGCTCGAAGATGTGAAGGTGATCGTGAAGGATATGAAGAGCTCTAACTTTAACTGCCTTTATTTGTCCACCTGAGAACCACTTCTAGCGAGCTTAGTGAAGACTCATTGAGCGACCTTGGCTATGTAGAATACGGCCAATCTCCATAGCATGATTTGTTGTGTGACAAATAGCCATTTCAATCGCGACGATTCCATACTAAATGCTCGGGTGGAAGCACAAGCCATGCTGCAATTTCTCACCCAGTTGGCCCAATGTGGTGCATGCTGCTGGCCGCTTCCTCGAATATAGCATTGAGAAGACTCCGTAGACCTGAAAGAGTAGTACTTCGAGGTCCGCAGAAACTTCCAGCAGCCCAGCTGTCGCCGAAGCTTTAGCTCGAGGTGTGCCTTTGGCATCCACCGAAGACGAAACAACAACGATGAGAAATTGGCCGTTGTTGCTTGCCCATCAAACAGCCGTTCAAGCAACTGTGGCAGTGAAGCAGCAGGATTGATGGCGGTATGTGCCAGTTGGACCAGCAGCAGCAGCAGTAGTAGTAGTAGTAGTAGTAGTAGTAGCAGCAGTAGTAGTAGTAGTAGTAGTAGTAGTCATCGTCGTTGTCGTAG